TTCTCCTTTTTTCCCCCCCCCCCCCCCCCCCCAGCTATTTAGCTAATTACAATTATAAGAAAGAGAAATTAGCAAACAGTATCAAAGAAATATTGGAGGAGAGGTGTGTTGCTATGTCTGTTAGAGGTCAGACTTGATGTACCTGCTACCTGCTGTAAACTCCTGACAGCATTGACTAGTGGCAGTTAGTGGCACTGCAACAGGATTTTTAACAGCATGCTCCATCCTGAGTGCTAATTCATTTTACATCCTTGCAAAGTGCAAGCTTGCATTTTTCCCTTGCTCAAACCTTTCTCTTCTCCAGCTAAAATTGTGTCTATGGCACAGTCTGCCCAAGTTATAAAAGATCTAGCTTGGGTATGGAAAGCAGAGTAACCAGTCTGCTTCCTGTGTAAAACTGTGAGTGTAGTAAAATAGGTGACCACATGCTGGTGTTTTTGTCTCTTTGTGAGTTTTATTTTTTTTTTCTTCCCTCTATGGAGTATTATTTTGTGCCTAGGGTGTTCTCACCTCGGGACGAATGGATTATTTTGTGGAAAGTGGTGTTGCCTATCAAATCCCTGCCTCATTTTGTGTTGAAAGTATAAGGTACCCCTGTAATGATGTGGAACATGCCTAAAAAGAAAATAGGTTTGGGGATGAAAGTAGTCGAATGTTTATCTAGGGCTTATTTGTTATTTGTAGATCAGTCATAAAGTTAGATGTAATGCCGAGCACGTAGAGCTGAGGGGTAGGAGCAGCAGTGCTTTGAGTACAGGAAGGGCTCAGTACTGCTAATTACCTTAAAAAAACTTCTCTCACATGGAAGCCTATAGCTACACTTGAGTTTCACTTTTTCATGCCTTTTTCTTCCCCAGTTCTAGAATGATGGTGATACTACACTTTTAACTCAGAAAGAAATGAAGAACCTAGACACTTTTGTGAGGAGCAACATATAAAAGTTAACAAACAAACAGTTGTGTTAAGAACAAAGTTTAAATACTGTGCAGAACATGAGTGAATAAAGCAAGGATGCTACATGAATGCAAGGAAAGCTAAATATTGAATGGCTGCTTTTCCACTGAGTATTTTCCATTGTGAGTATTTCTTGAAATAGTAACCTTATAAAGTGATGTTTCATGTAACTAAATAGTATCAGAGTATACATATAAGAAGGAGTAAATTAAGCTTGCAGAGACTAATAACTCTTGTGTTAATTTTGAGGCCTTGACTTGGCAATCTTAATGCTTTAAACATTACACAAGTACTAAGTATAGTATTAGTATAATGTTAATACTAACTGAACAATATACTAAACCATTGTTGTAGTGCTGTGAACAGTCTGTCAGAGGCAGGCTTGCGTAAAGTGTATACATAGTTTCTTGACTGTCTCATTTGTTTCACATCTGGGGGTAAGTATTGTTTGTCTGTGTTGCAGAGGGAAGAAAATGACATCCAGCAAGGTAGGTAGCCATGTGCTGAACATCTTTGTAATATCAGTAAGCAGTTCTTTCTGGAAAACAGGTTGATTACTTGTAGAAGCAATTGATCAAACCCAAAAGGAAGTAGTTGCATAATACAGCTACAGCATAGCTCGAAGTGACTTGCTGAGACTTGGCAAGTCTTGGCTCAATCTTGCCTTGCCAATAACAGAGAACACTTAATCTGGAACAGAAAGAACAAAGCAGGTGTGTATAGAGTGTCAGTTTTGGAAAATACTTTTAAGATGGATGAGTTTTTAGGTCCAGTGATTAACAACTGTTCCTAGAAGTTTTTCATTGGTGCAAATTATACATTCATAAATTTAATTTTTACCACTTTAACATCTGTGGAAATGACTTTGTTCACAATAATACAGCAAGTAAACCACCATGAAAGAACAGGCTTGAAAAAAGAAAGGTAGAGGGGGCGGTTTGTTTGTTTCTCTGTGTCTATAACCAGTAATTCTGCAAGAACTGAGTGGGTAGTTGGTTTAGCAATGAAGCAGTGTTCTTGGGTCACCAACAGTAGGCAAGTTGAAGACAAAAAGATTTGAGAGCTGTTTAGCTAAATATCTAAAAAGTGATAGTTTTTGTAACAACAGAATTTGCAAAGCAACACATACAAATATATACATTAAAACATCAACGACAGTGAATTGATGCTTTCTTGCTGGAAGGATGCCAAGAAGTGTGATCCCACAATGCTTTAGAACATTATTGACCTCACAACATTTTTAATTTTTATTTACACATTTGAAAATACAAACAAAAATATTAGAGAATTAGAGTAAAGCCAAGGAAAAGGACAACATGTCCATTAATCTAAAACATTCAGACAGCTTTATTGCTACTAATCACATGAAGTACAGTCCTATTTTCATCTTGTACACAGCAGGACATTAGGTTGAGTTGCTCTAACTTCTGGGGCTGTGCACGTTACAAAGAAATTGCTGAAAGCAGTGATCTGTGGTAAATGCAACAACTGGAGAGAGTAGATCACTGTGGGCATTCTCATTTTTGAGGTGAAAATGGCCTACAGGAAACTTTAAATAGCAGTCAAAGGACCAGGCTGTGTTATGCAGTTGTTCTTCATGGGACTTTGAATATCCATGTTGTCACAGACCAGGCTGTGTTATGCAGTTGTTCTTCACAGGACTTTGAATATCTGTGTTGTCACAGGTGGAAATTGCAGGTGAAAGGATATCTGCTTTGGCTTCTTGTGTTAAACACAAGTGCTTTTCCGATAAAAGTGACATGGGGTTGAACTTTTCTGAACTGCATCTCTTACTAGGTGCTCTTTTTAAAGAGTATTTTCCATAATTTTGGATTTTCTTTTAATACCTGATCCATGTGTTTTGGTATGCTGGAAGAAATTATTTTAAAAAGTCTTCATTTTAGCAGTTTGGTTTGATTAAGAAACTCTTACAATGTGTTTCAGTTTCGTCGAGTCTTTTGTATTGTTGTGGCTGTCAATTAGAACCAGGGAGGTGTGCTGATGATTCTCTACTATTTCAGCAACACTGTCAAAGCGCTGGATAGAGAAAACAAAAATTAATGAGGTATAACAGTAATCACTGCATTGTCTTTTTCTTCTTGCTTCTCCCACCATTGAAGAGTGGAGCTATGACTGTTACCCAGTGAGATGATTTGCCATTGGTCATAGTACAATATATATATTAATCCTTGCTTATTAAAGTTATATAACTGAAAACTAAGAGCACTGATCCTGCTCTTAGTCCTGATTCTAGTCATAAACAGATTAGATTTGGACAATGGAAGATACTGTGGCCACTAGCTGTCTCATCTTGTGCTCTTTTTCCCTTTATGAGTAATATAGTACAAACAGCCATTAATGAGAACGCTTTTGGTTATGCAATTTTAATGTTTGTCACTGTAAATTGATATCCAGAATCTGCTAGATCTGTTGGTTTTCCTTTTGGTTTTTGGTCAAATACAGATTTTGGACTATCTTTCCCTTCTGCGGTCATTTCTGACCCTTTGTTGAAGGCCAGATGAGCTCCAGGCTATTGTTTATTCTGTAACGTTAAAACTGTTGCCTGGGAGGCAGATAATTAGACTAAGGCAAACCTACTTTCACATCCTTGAAGTGCCTACTCTGTGCAATGATAACAAATGCTTTCTATTGGTATTTGGGTTCCAAGTTTCTGTTTTGCTGTCAGAGTAATTATCTGTGTGGTATAATAGCCAACCAGTGATTTTTGCACTCCAGAACTAGAGTTTAACTTTTTCTTTATGTGACAATAAGATTAAAAGTACTGTAATCCCCATTTTTTATAGAGGTTTTCTGGATTTTGTTTGTTTGTTTGTTTTTTCTTTTCCCTTTTGAGCATGACTGTTCTTCCTTTCCTTTATGATTTTCCAAGAAACTTAACTACAGTCTTAGGCAGAAGACGAATAGAGGACTATGAACAGCTGGAGAATTTACCTACCAGCTGCAGCTCTGATCCTGATAACTATTCCAAACATTTTTATGAGTATGTTTTAAACTTGATCTGTGGTTTTAATTACAGTATGCAGGAGCTGATGTTATGCTGGTTTCTCTAGCTTGATAGATCAGTCATATAGGGAATACTTTTGATACATGAAGAATCCTTTTGGTCATAGTACAATATATCTTAATCCTTGCTTATTAAAGTCATATAACTGAAAACTGTTAAGAAAAAAAAAAACCCAAAACAACCCACATCATCTCACCTCTTCACCACTTTTTTCTCTGCCCAGTGCATATTGTCTTGTTGACTCAATAAATCGTATAGGAATGTTGTATACTCTTCTGTTGTAAAACACAACCAGTGTGTATGGTTGCCGTGAATCCTGTCCAGAACTCTTTCTTACTAGAAAAGATCCATCCTAAAGAGATAAAAGTAGTAAGTGTATTCAGCTTATTTTTTCCAACAACTTAGTCTGGTTTTAAGTTAATATTTTCATCTATGTTAGCATTAAATCCTTTTCTCCCATTAGAAAAACTGTACAGCAGGAGATAAGCAGTAGCATGTATTCCTGCTAACAGTAGCTTACAAAGGTGTCATTTAAGTCACCTTTGCTGTTGCTTGTTCTCTGTCAGCCAGAGAAAGAAAGAAGAATTCAACATACAGTGGCAGCAGTCTGTTGGGGTCCACAGATATTAGGAAATTAAGGTGCTATCAGTGGCAGTAGGTAGGCAAGAAAGCGGTGAGAGGTGGAGATATGATCTCTCCAGGGCTGTAAAAGCACTCTGATAAAAATGAGCACCTACAGCTACTGCCATTGTAGCCCAGTGCTCACTAACTAGCAGTAGCGTATGCTGGTGGTAACCCCAGTGCTCTGCCCCTTTATCCTGCTTTGTGGAGTTAGGCAAGAGTGGAAAACTTGGAAAATCAGTTGCATCCTGATGCTGAGAATGCAACTCTACATGTTACTATTCCCTTGTGTGACACTAGCTTTTGTACACAAAATAGTTGAGAGAACTCAAATTCTCCACATACCTAAATGCACAGTGTTGCTATTTCAACAATATGATGCATCAGCCTTTCCAAATAGTAGCTGTTCTTACATAAGCCATTGGACAGTGGTGAAGATCTTTTAAAAGTCAGAGGGCTTTGCCTTCCATTTTAATGGATGCACATGAGCTATTGGAACTTTGCAGCTCTCCAGTCTGCAGTGGCTTTCTCTGCAGTGCACTAGTTGTTGAGTTACACTAATGCAACTTTGTCTTGGGATAGAAAACATAGTTAAATAGTTTCACCACAGTAATTTAATGTTTGACAGTATTTGCATGGCACAGTATTCTGACCTGTTCAGAATACAGCTGATGTTCTTAGAATATTTCTGGTTGTCTTTTGATTTTTTTTAATTTGAAGTTTTTTCATAAAATATACATCTTTACCCACCTTGTTTGATCGGTACAACGCATCTTCTGCTGTTTTCCTATCACAGGTAGCAGCATACCATGCTTTACTCTGAACACCTGCATCCTAGAAAGAGAGAAACAGTGTTTCACCTGTAAAATAATAATGATAATAATAAAGAATATGGCCTGAAAAAAAAGTACTACTAAATAATGGCAGTTGTGAAGAGCTGAAATGCAGAACACTTTAGAAAACACAGAATTTAGAAAATTCTTTGGCAGGAGCTCACTGTTTTTGTTGGATAGAGGCAGGACAAAGAAAAACTAGTGTGTCAAAGCCAGTGGTAACAGATATGTGATAGAAGGCTGATAGAAGAGAGAAAGATACCCTGAGGAAAGTAGTCAGGTTCAAGTGGAGGATAGTTTGGTATTAGTTAAAGAAGGAAGCTATTCTAATAGAATTTGGAGAGGGTATCTAGGAAATGTTGAGGAATAAATTGATCATTATCAATTTAAGTGCTGCTCAGCTGTGGGTTAGCCCATGAAATGTCCAGATTTGGTAGGCATCTAAGCTTTGGGAATGAACTTTCCCATATACTTAATGCTATTGTGAGCATGATCACAACTGCCTTCATCTGGATAGTGTGGAGATTGGATAAGTACATCTTTTGCTCTTTTTGTTGTTATTAGATAAGGACAAATGGATGGAGTCCTACAAAACAGAGGAATAATGTCTTTCCTCTATGAATGCAGCAGTTTAGCCCCTAGTGCTTTCACATGAGACATGGATTCAGCTCCAGTTCTCTGTTGGATTGAGTCTGAATACATCCTTACATTTGAAACTGTGCTCTTATCTAAAAGACATAAAACCATGTTTACTGCCAAGAAGGCTTACACCTGTGACAGAACACAAGAGCAGCTTATATTCTGGGTGCCTCATTTCTGTATGTTATCCCCTGTGAACACCTCACAAAGATCATCCTTCTTCTCTCCATTGAGTTAAATGCTTGCCAGTGTTCTGTACAGTAAATGAACAGTAACCTGTTCTTCCAGTGGAAAACATGGGATAAAGGACTTCATGGATGGGGGCATAGGTGCAGACCTGAAGATACAAGGTAGAAAGATTGGCACCCTAAAGATAGAAGGATTCTGTTTTAGAAGATAAAAGCTCTCATAGCAAAGGAAGTGCAAAGATAGAAAGATGTGAAGAGGTGATGGTAGTTGGGAATGAGTTGCAGGAAATTATAATTTGAGTAAGAGAAGAAGTGGTAGAAAACTGCGTAGTAAGATGATGCAGGATTGAGTGTACATTTGGTAACAGGAGTGGAATTTAGGGGATTTTAGTGAACTATGAAAAGAAGTGATACTCAAGAGATGCACAGGATGAGGGATTAGAAGCAACGTGAGACTTATGCATTGTCAGACTTCAATAGCTAGAATATTAACTAGCAGGTTATAAAACAAGCAATCATAAAAAGTGAGCTCTTGCTGAGAACCCTGATGCAAAATTTAACTCAAGTGAGTGGAGAGGCTATAGAAATAGTGCTGAGAGTTATTTCCTAATGAATACTTCTGGATATTAACCTTCCTGGTCATTTGAACAGTTTTGCTTGAACTTTGTAGTAACAAGTTTAATGATAAAGATAATTTTCACACCAGCTTTGTCACCTCTGTACAGATTGTACGGTAACCAGATTAAAGATGAAGTTGCATATTATGGCTGAACTGGTATAGCTGGTGTATCACTGCCAAAAAAGGAATGTCTTGGCTTCTCTCTTGTGCTCATTTTGTGGCTCATCTGATCCCACAGCGAGATAATTCACTTCAGTAATCTTTCAGAAAAAAAAAAAAAAAAAAAAAAGTTACCTCTTTTGTTTTGTCTTGTTTTGCATTTGACTGCCAGGTTCGTTTTCTGTCAGTTTAATGAGCTGGCTCAGCCCACTGCAGGATCAGAGAAAAACCAGAGAAGCCAGTGGCTAGGGTGGGGAGTTGACAGTGAGGAGAGGGCAGAGCCTCCATTTTGGGGGCATTGCACTAACTTCTTAGGTTGGCTCAAGCCATGACATATAACTTTACCTCCAAAGTTCTTCCATGTATTTCTCCAGTCACATTATTTATTGGAAAAAGATAGGATGAAATGAATTGCAAATATGCAAGGGACTGAGTGACTTAGAGAATGAGTCCAATAAACCGATTTTTGTTCAACAGTACAAGAAATCAACTGCCCCCAGACCTTTCTTCTAGCACTAGCCTATGATCTGGAAACAGAGAGGTGCTGCCAAAGTTGGGATGGGAACCGAACAAAGAATGACCCTTATGGACATGAATCATGTCTGCAAGCACCTGTGTTGTGCAGGGTGCTACAGCAAATGATACCAAAATCAGTGAATTTATTAAGCTCTGGTTTTGCCCATGGCTGTTAAATAAAAGCTGCAAATGTAATTGCTACAAGCTGTTTATTTAGTGTCTGCTGGATTGTTTATTTGAAAGCAATTTTTATAATAAATATCCAGTATGACATACTGTTAAAATTTTCCAGAACTTCAAGTCCTTTGTGTTCTTCACAAAGATTGTTGTATTATCTTTGTTATATCAGACTTTAGAACATTTAATGTTATTGGTTATGCATAAGAGAGCCTTTGTTTTGTGCTCAACAGAACTATTTCTACCTTGTTTGTGACTACTAGGCTAATAAGAATGGTTTCCTGCATTTTGTAGTCTCCCTTCATCCAAAATGAGAGTAAGGGGAATAGCACTGAAATGAAAATAACTTTTCATTTGCTTAGATTATTCAAAACTTAATATTTCAATAAAAAACAGAAAAAATGAATTGGTCATAAAACTGACAGCATGAACTGTAGTGAGAAGTCTGTTTAAAGGAACAGGAAGGAGTAGGACTTGGAGAGGCTAAAACATGTAGGGGGAGGCATCGCAGTGTCCTCTGAGAGGGGTAGCAGTGGTTCTTAAAACTTTGCTGACATCCCAAACAGCAATAAATAGGGCAATGTTCATAAAAGTGATTCTGCCCTATGCATCGTGCTGTGTTGGGCCAGTCAGCAGAGCATCCCTGTTTCCTCCTACTAATTTCTAGGCTTTCTGAGCATGTCGTATTAGTGCAGGCTAATGCTAATAGCTGCAGATGGCTTAATTGTATCTGCTTAGCACACATTTTTTTTTTTTCAGGACACAGTATGTACAGCTATAATTTAGAAAAAAGAGGCAATTAAAAACTCGTTATAGCTGTCTATATCAAAGACTAGACTTAAGTACATCACCACAGATTTCCTTGTTTCAAAATGATGTCGAAATATTATGAACTGAGGAGTCAGGAAGACCTGAAACTAAGAAGCTTCTTTGGGTTTTCTTTAAAGTGACTGGTAGAGTACCAAGGTTTGGTATAATGCTATTTATATATTTTTCCTACATTTTTTTAAAGCTCTCCTATGGTTTATGTTCTAAGCATTTTTTGGTGTGAAAGCTAACATTCAGATTATTTGTGCTACAGAAAATCTTCACTGCAAATGGGACATGGATAGCCTCCACAAAGGGAGTATGATTTTTATTTAGAAAGAGGGTAAGGGCAGAAATACTACTTTTAAAGTAAAGGATAAGATTTTTGTAATGTGAATTTAGCTAACATTGTACCTGGTCTGCAGTACTTGAAATAGATGAAACGTTGCTGTGAGGGGAAGTACTCGGAGAACGGTTTGCAGCTTCTGGCACTTCTAGAAAAAAGAAAGAACAACATATAAAAGTTTTCAAAGTATGTTTGTTATGCTGTAAGAAACTGATCTGTTACAAGGATTTTGGAAGGTCTGTAAATGCTTGATCTTGGGTATCACTCAGGAAATCTATCTACTGCAAATGGATGGGCCCTATATAAGTGCCTGGGACACTTTACTGCTCAAAAGGGGAGCCTTGCTTATAAAGAGAGAAACCATTTGATTAATAATGGTTTGGTTAACAACTTGGTTGATAGCCAGAGGTAGAATTAAAATGCAAGAACCCCCCCCAGGTGAATCAATTTAGCAATAGATAAAGAAAAATCAGGAACAAAATGCAAAAAGCACTCAGTTCAGTGTAAGTAGTCATATAGGTGAGGGAGTCGGGAAAAATGAATGTAGCTCAGAGATAACTTTTCACAAATTTAGTCCAACTGAAATGTTTGTATATGTGGGCAGGAAGTCTAGGCAGCTAAATAGAGAAGCAAAACTAGTAGGAAAGATTATGAAGCTTTATTATAATTGTAATAACAAAGTATAGTAGAAAATAGCTATTAGGGCTGAAATACAGGTATTGAAGAGTTTAAGAAATTAGAAGGGAAATGGTTGAGTAGTGTTGCGTAGTAATGATGTGCTAAAAATATGGGAAATAAGTATAGATAATTCTTTTCTGGTAAAACAGAATCTTGGTCAAAGATAGTAGAAGTGTCTGTTATAGGTACTTGTGATCAGAATTGGGTACAGATCAATATCATTATACTAGAGAAGATGATAATAGAAAGTTGAGTGTTACTTATTCTGTTATTATGGGAGGTCTTATTTCCCATTTGTTTTACTTATTGAGGAAAAAAATGCTATTAGGATTGTTAGCGCTCACCTATTCCTGGATACGATAGTTGCAGACTGCTTTATCAAATCTTTGCTAATATAATTCTGATTTAGATTTTGGTTTCAAAAATCTAGAAGAATGTTATAAAGGAGGTCACACAGTGACTCAGAATTAAAAAATTCAGTTGAACTGGAGAACTGAAAGACACCCGCATGAAGCAGGTTTAGAACTTCTTTTGTAGTAAAGAAAGATGCAACTGTCTGAAAGCTGCATTCCAAATACAGGGAAGACATTGTAAGGAGCAGTCCCAGCTCTCCATGAATGAATAATCACCTGAAGAAGGCTATTCAATATTAAGTGTTTTGTTTTTCCTGTCAAATTTTGACTGACCAGCTGCAAAAGCTGCAGCTGAAAAGTACATTGTATGAATAAAGTAAGAATTGCCAGAAGTCAAGCTGAATTAGACTTTACAAAAGGAAATTAAAATCAGTGGTAAGAGATTCCTTAGCTATGGAAAAAGGAAAGAGAAATGGGGCTGTCTGCAGTAAGACTTGTATTGATTTTAAGATAATCTAGGTACTAAAGCAATAGTAGTTCTGGTACAGCCATGGAAATTTCCACAATAAAGTTGGAAGCAGAACTCAAAGATCTTAGTACAATTGCACTGGTGGGCCCAGATAATCTTTATCCCAAAAATTTTAATAACTGGCACATGAAATTACAGGGTGGGTAACAATTCTTTTAAATAAATTTCAAGTCAGGTTGGTACCATATGAATGAAGAATACCAAGCATAATTCCTATACTTAAAGTGGAAAAAATGACCTGAGGATCTACATGCCTTTTTGTCTGACTCCACAGAACACAAGGCCCTAGGAGAGAATTTGAAGGAAAGAACATTAAGATTTGGAGGTAAAGGTACAAGTAGCAAAAGAAAAATCTAAAATTTATCCAAGTAGATACTCTGGACTTCAGTAGAGCATTTGATACTATGCCATATGGGAAATTAGTACCTTTTATGAAGAAGATGGAAGTTAGCACTAGGGTTGTATGGTGACAAGGAAGAGATGGCAGGTTATGCAGAGGGACATTAGTGATTGGGACCAATTGTATCTGTGATTAAGTTTATTGGACCTGGCACAGAATAAGAGTGTGTTAAAGGTATTTTACTAATTGGAGCATCACTTAGCACCAGATGGCCTTGAAGAATACTTACACTTTAGGGATTAGTAAGAATTTATGCTGCAAGTTGAAGCACATCGGTTGTGTGACAGGAACAGACAAACTTGAGAGCATCAATGTCTTGCATGAATATGAACCAGTATTATACTTCCACAGGAGATGTAATTACAACATACATCAAACAAACATTTCCAGGAAATAGAGAGAAGTACTAATAAGAGCATATAAATTTAAGCTATGCCACGTGCAGATTTCTATGTGCAGTTCCCATAATCCATTTAGATATATTCAGACGGAAATACGTGCAGAAAAGGGCTTGTAGGAAGGTCAGACAAGTGTCTGCTAACAAGAGACTAGAAAAATGTTAGATCTAATTTACACTTCTGTGCAAAGAGTGTTCATACACTTATCTAATTTGTTTTTAACTATGAACTGAAACAAAGTCCCTCTTTGAAAGTATTACTTACAGAAAAGCTTAAGCATTTGCCATTATAAAAAATACCTTTTTTTTTTTTTTCTCCCCTGTAGAGAAAGAATAAATTGCTGGATGCAATAATAATCTATCTGGCTTTAAGCAACAGAAGCCTGGAACAGCCCAGAAATGTTATATTTTAGGGTTCTTTTGTGGCAAGGAAGATTGATGGAATCTTTATTATGATGAGAACTGACCCAGACTGCCTTTGGTAGAAATTTTCAGTAGTCATAAATGGGAATGAAGCACCCAATTTCCATTGATTCTACAATAACCCTGACATACTCCCTTAATTTTACTAGCTGAGCTAAGCCTCTGGATACTTTATCTCCTCTTTGTATGCATTAGAGAGACAAATGTTAATTCTAAACTAATGAATAGGCATGGCATCTTTAAATACTTCAAAGATTAATTTGAAATTACAAGTTAATCACATTTTAATTCAAAATCTGAATTATACTTACTTGGCAGAATTGAAGTCTTTGGGAGCAAAGGCCTGAAATAAATATCAAGAGATTACAGAAAGGTCTAAGGATATCTACCCAGTTCTGAAAATATTAAAATTGTGCATTTGAAGCATGCAGTGGTAGAATGTGTTCCATCTCACCCATTTGTCCATTGAGAAATAAGGGCCAGATACAGGGATTTAAAGAAAAAAACAACAAAAAAACTTCAACAAAACCCCCCTCACATTCCACTAGTACTGACAATTAGGAATTTAAAAATCTGGTTTACATCTCCATCACCTAATTAGAGATTATATCCTCCCATGCTTTTTGGTGGTGGTTACAGTATTTGGATGCATTTGCCATGTTTTATTTTTTGCTACAGCAAGGGTTTGAGAAACATGATTTTCAAAAAGCAACAGAAGGCTACAGAGAAAACAGTGCTCCCCTTTGAACTTCTCACAGCTGTGTTCAGACTGAGCAGTAGGAGCTGGTGCACTGAAATATTCAAAAGACGATGAAAAGGGATTTTACTTTTGGGCACCACTTGGAAGGGGTGGAAGCGGAAGCTCTTGGCTGGAACCTCGTCGCCGTTCTGCTGCTGTAGGTTTTTCTGTAGTTTGGGAAAACAAATTGTAGAGTCAAGGTTTCTTCAGAAAGATATTGTCTCAGATAAGAGAGTCCCAGTAGTTGAAGGAGAGTTTCTTTTATTACTATAACTTTTCCTTACATGGCAGCTTGCCATCCTGCTGCTTGCTTTATTGACTAGTGGCATACCACCAAATTTCTAGGCAAATAGCTGCACTGTGGACGCCCACAGGAGCTCAGTGGGAGACTTGCCTTCTAGAGGCGAGCTGTGTGACACAGGGGAGGACACTGGGGCAGGCTGCCTAGGAGAGCTCAGCTGGAGGAGGTGTGGCTGGCTGGCTGCATCTCACCCTTGTGTTAGACAGCAGCTCCTGCTGAGTTTTTGCCTAGAGGAGCTGCTGCCTTGCACAGAAGTGAGATGCATTTTCTCCCTGTGCTAGGGACTGGCTCTTGCCAGGAGTTGGCTTAGTGTGAGGTGATTCTTGCTAAGTTCAGAATGATGCACTCACTCATCGCCTCCCACCCCCCTTCTCCACTTTGAGGAGTATATGGCACATTGCTGGTCCATTACGTCGTATGTTGCCCTGCCAATAACCTCAATAGTTTTACTGTGGCTGCTTCTAGGGAACAATGATATTCAGTGCAGTGATATTCTGGCTGGCCAGATCCAGTTAGAAACTGCTAAAACCAGACTCCCCTCAAAAACCTACAATAAACTGAATGTGGTGGTGTTTGTTTCATGTTTTTAATAAAAAGAAAATTAAATTCTGATAGATGTCAAACTTTTCACAGTAGTGGAGATAATTTACCTTCATTTGAAGTTAAGGTCTCTCTGGAAGGTAAACATGGTTTCTGCAATAAAACAGAAGGAAACCGAATATTAAGTGGCATGCTACTTGTACAGCAAATGTTTATCTTTTTGTACTTTTTGTGAACTAGTTTATATTTAGAATTGAAAGCATCCTGGAGGGATTAGGAGCATGGCCATTCTGTGAAGAGCCTCTGCTTGTATGACCTTGAAGTCTGGGATTTTGCAGAGTAGATTTGGAAAGAATCCCAGTTTGTGTATAGAAATAGATGGACAAAAGTAAAATTGAGAGATGCATGCCTTTCCCCTGCCTTCCGCCCCGCTTTCTCCCACCCGCAACTCCCATCAGTAAGTTCATGGTGTAAAAAAGGTTTGTTCTTATCTCATGTCCGAAGATGAAGATTCCCTCCCAAATACTTGCAAATCAAAATTTGAATATTTTCATCTTTGTCAAGCTATGCTCACAAATGTCTGAGCACATTTCTTTTTGCTGAAAGTTAAACTGTCAGTTTAGCTCACAGTAAACATTTACCCAGCCTTCCAGTTTCAATATTTTTTTTGTTTTTCCATTTTGAAACAATGATAATAAACTGTCAGTTTCAAAACATTTTTCAAATTAATTTATTTGAAAATTTCAACCAGTTCTCGCACTTTCTCCCACAAGAGGTTTTGGGATATTTTTCTAACAATGAAATACTTACTGAAAAACCTCTGAAAAATTCTGGTAAAATCCCTTATCTTTCTTGACCTATCACTCTTAACAATAAATCCACATTTGTCATATGCAGCTCCCTATAGTCCAGGGAATACTCCTGAATGGCCTGTTTTCCCATTTATTTCTCATTTTATTTAGTTCTTGCACTGTGTTTATTGTTACATCCTACAGAACTGAATACAAACATCCATTTACTAAAAATATTTTTCTCTCTGAACTTTCTCACTGCTTAGTTCATGTAACCGCACCCAAATATTTCCTTTCTTTATAACTCTCTCTTTTCTCTATTCTTTTTATGCACTTATGTTGTACCCAAACTCATGATAAAATTAAGTTTTACAATAAATTAAAAATAACCTGTAAAAATTATAGTTTGATTATGCAATTGCAAGTCAACTTACTGGTGAATTTACTGCATTAGAAGTTTTCTTTCTGCAAATTGGAGGGAAAAAAAAAGAAAGAGTATAGTTATTTAGCAGATACATGAATTAATTTATCAACAGATTCACTGATTCCCAAGATATTTCTGGCCAAGATGGGATGTATTTACTTAATGGGCAGCTGTAGCAAGTAGGGGAAAAAAAAAAGAAAAAAGAAAAAGAGTAAAAAAGAATAAGAGTATCAGATATAACGTAGGTACTCAGGAAAGGTACTTATGATATGCAAGGAAGCTATACTCTGTCCAGTGCTTAAGATGACAACATGGGTGCTGCAGAAAAGCTTTAATGAAAAACACAAGTTTCTGCATTTATAGGCATGCATGTCTAAATTAATAACTAAATTAAGAATGTCAGATAGCATCTGCCATCCGTGGCAGTAGTGATGCTGGCATACAAGCAGTATTCCTCCAGAAATAATAAAATAATAGCTTGCCTTTACCTAGTGAGGATATTTTTCATGAACAGCAATAAAAATGACTCCTGAATTCTGATTGCCATAGACAGGGATAGGAGTTAGCTCTTAATACATCTAGTAATTATCCCCATCCCTATCAAAGAAGTAGTTTTAGCATTTTTTACTCACAGGCCCCTTGGTAACGGAGATGGAGCTGCTCCAGTGGGAAGTCTGGATTCTTGTGTGTTATTGAAGCTACGATCTAGAGATGCAGATGACTTATTTAGCATGCAATATTAGCTGTACCTGAACAGAGAGTTTTCTTCACTGCCATTTCAGTGTTATTGTAATAAAAGTAAAAAATACCCATTGGTTTAATTTTTGTCTTGACATGTTTTCACTCTGATTATACTAGAAAACAGTTCAGTACCATTTCTTGCTTATTGCTGACTGTTGTAGATAAAATTTACACTGATACATTCCACTACATCCTATTTTAAGGTCACTAGTGACATACTGACAACAAATTCTGCTCATATTGCCATATACAGAATACTTACTTTCATCTTTACTGTTTGCTTCAAGGTCCTGTAATGGAAAAAATACGTTAGATTTGATAAGAAGCAATTAAAAAAAAAAGAATTATTATCAAATGGGAAGTACATAAATAAATAACCTGGTCTTGGTAATCTGTAGTAATGTTTAAAGAAATATTTGTACAAAACGTATATAATATCCATGATATTTTTAATCAGCTTTTATTACAGCATTTGAAAAATTTTAGCAAACATCAGCCTAATTTTGAACATTCTAATAACTCTGAGATTGCTTGTAGTATTGAGAAAATTGGCCCTGAATTTTCCAGCAAGACCTTTTGATTCATGTTTAATTTCTGAGCTGGAAAGCAGAAATTCTGCAGCAGATTTGAATATATGGAGAACACATTTTTTACTCAATGGAGGATACTGAGCAGATTGTCTGTCCCAGCTTCTTTTGGAGATGCTTTCTTTTGGCTACCACTTCTTGTCTAAAAGGGAATTGGACTTTCAGATGATAAGCACCTTTCAAAGAGGCATCAGTTATCAATTTGTCCATCTCCATCCCCCAGGTTAATGACTTTTCACTAATGTTGGTTACAAATGCATCCATTCTCTGGTTGGAGAGGTGTAATTCATCATCCAACAGTTGAGGGAGTGAGATGTGGAGAAGTTTTTCTCCCAGTCAGCCCAAGCCTTTGAGAGGAACAAGTTCTGTTAACATGACCAGTGCTGGTTAGTGCTGAGAATGGATTGAATAGGAGCAGTTAACAGATGTTTCAGTTATTATTTTGCTTTGTCAGTGTGCATAGTCAGGGATGGAAAGGCACAGCACTCGACGAACATCATTCTCATTACCATGATTTTCTTTAAAACTGTTAAGGACTGGCCAGTTACACAACAAGCAAAGACCCCAAAATTCAGACTACACTGGGTAATTCTTTCCTAGAATGACTCTTGTGCCAAACTGAATAACTGCAAGTACCCAGGAGCTGAATACACCCATTGTACAAATGGGTGTTTGTTTGGGAGCTCCATCCTTGGTGCTGTAACTAACCCAGTGTGTGGTCCTAGCAAAATGATAGTGTCTCTTGATTCTCTGCAAAGCTATGATGATACCCATCTTAGAGGTAAGCTCTGAAATGAATTAATGGCAAGGTTTCAGCTGCAGTATGATACTTGAGTATGTTCTGAAGCAGCAGAATTCTTGTGAGTGCTGATCAGATAGTGGAGTTTCTGTCCAGCATTCTTCCTTCAGAAGGATTTTTTTCCTAATCTTATTTTGGTAAGAAAAGCTGAGAAATCAAACCATTTCATAAAATAGAAAGCCTGGTCTTGGCACCACTCAGGAATTGTTCAGCATCTTACAGGGTACAGATCTATATTGGAAGAATGTTGTGATGAGGTGGAAGGTAAACAAATATGCTGCTGCTGTTATACGTAAAGGTGTGCGAACATGCCCCCACACCCCAGCTCAAAGACTTGATATATCTAGAAATTTAGGGATTGAAAGTAAGACTATAAGATGTTCTTATACCACCTGCATTATGTTACCATAGCACCAAATGCTATGGTGTGACCCCAAACTCCTAATTTGAAGCGTCTAATTTCTCTATGTAGTTATTGGTAAACTGGTTATTTCTTAAGGACAATTCAGAGCACTGGGCTGGGACAGAGTTTGATGCACATAGCTTTTGGCACAGATGCTGATGCAATTACTGTCACCATGTTTCTTGGTAGTTTGCTTCTCATGCATACCCTCTCTTATGCTGGCACAACTATTAGTAGAGCTATGGTGCAGAAAAATTTGTGTAAACAATCTGGCTGAAAAAAAGAATATTTTTTGTGTTTTCTTTTGCCCATTTTCTGCAGTTAGGCAAGTTTCCAAATAGTTTGCTTCAGAAAACATTTGTTCCAGCACAGTGGAAGGGAGAGACTGGGGACAAGAGTAGAGGAAGAAGAGGAATGACTTAAACACAGCCTTAGGAACCCAAAGCTTGTAATTACTCCTCATGGCTTGCATTTTCTAGTGATACTGGTTACTCAGGCTACCCAATCTGACATTTTAGAAGGATTCTGTTTTCAGAAAGTATTAATCATTCATACTTTGGAAGGAATGAGGCTCAAGGAAGGTGCTCCAGATTGAGCAAAATCACCCATTGCTACTGAAAGTAAGGTTCCTGGTTTTCAACTGGTATTTTTTTAGTATGAGAAATTATTTTTGTGGACTGAGACATATATCCCTTAAAACATTTGAAGTTTTTATTGGATCAGTACAGATGTCCAATGTAGCTCTTTTGTCTAAAAGATTAATAGCCACAGTTACAATATTAGATCAATCTGACATTCAGAGTAATCTGTTTCTGTTATTTAATCCAGATAATAAAAAGCATCCCTCCATATCTATGTGTGTGTGTGTGTATATATATATAGATATATATATATATATATATATTGACCAAATCCTTTTTATATATATATATATATCTGAAACATAGAACAGCCCAAGTTTAACACATTATTTTATAGTGGCACATTAATTACTCACTGCTTTTGGATGAAGACGATTTCTTGGAAGAGGTAAAATATTTCTGGAAAATATACACAATAAGTTAAGATGAGTAGGATTTACTTATTTAATTGCTTGGCTCAGATATGTGTTTCAAGATCTAGAGAGGAAGAGGTCTGCAGTAAATAGATTTAATTGCAGCTATGCACCACTGCAGTGGTTGTGGTGATGCTGTGCCCTTAGTGTGGAACTATTCTAGAAGAGTTTCTGTCCTGGACCTCAGGTCCTCTGCAATTGCAAACAGAACCTCACCAAACACCGTAACACACACAATGTTGTGGATGCCCCTGCTCTTCCTGGGGCATGTAGCCTGTTTTGTAGAGTGATGTCCTAGAAATGGTTACAAGGCAGCTTCCTACGCTTCCGGGAACACAGGAGCGAAACAGGCTGCATAATCAAGTTTCCTTTGCCTCTTTTCCTCCAGAGACTTGGAAGATAAATCATGGATTTACTGTGTCCAGCTTCTTTCAAGCAATCTTGTGCCCCACCCTCTGCAAAAAAATCTCTCATTTGAAAGGGTGCAGAGATAGGCAATAGGACTTTAAACTGCCTTGCAGAGATGTTTTACCCCTGCACTGGATCCCTAAAGGGATATTCAAGAAAACAGTACCCATTTGGCAAACTGGCTCGAATACAGAAGTTCAGAAATGAGATCTTTAAATTCTTACCTTGTCCCACAATCCCTAACTATTTGTGCATCCTGACAACTGCTTATTCCCTGAGGGCTACACTATACGGAGGAGAAAATTTTGTCTCCACTAATATTTACTATTGATACAAGCTGCTGTTGACTTACCTGGAGGTATCCAGCTTAGGTGACTCTCTAGTCATGCTGTGCTTGTGGGAGTGCTCTGTGTTCTGAGTAGGCATAGACAGAAGTGGCTTAGTGAATCTAGTAGTAAAACATGAATTAAGAAAGGAAAATTATATTTAATAACAGTGACTACAAAAGCAACCTCTTTCTCCTCCCTAACCCTCTGAAAATTCTAAAAAGCACCCTTAAGAGGTATTCCTCTTTAATATGTGTTATGTTTGAGTTATTGAAAGTAACATAGAACTGGATGCCAATTTTTGTGTAGACAATCTAAAGAGAGAGAATTACTATATGTATATCTTCTAGAGAGAGAATTATTAAACATATAGTATCTAGATGAGGAAACATTTTCTGACAAGTTTTAAATAATATATGCACACATTCATAGCAATGGATTACCTGGTTACTGGTGGTGGTGATGGTTTTTCCTGTAAGAGAAAGTGCACTGAATTATTTAGTCATATTTTGATTTAATAAAATACATTTGTATGATCCTATTTATGTTATCAGAGCAATATCTTATTTTTGATAGAGAGTTGTAGTAAAACTCTGCCTGATAATCTGCACTACAATGGGAGAGGCAAGAAATCACCACCAGTAAATCTGTGAAGCCCTGAGCACACTGCTTTCGCCATACGTCATGTCAGTACCAGAAAGTGGGAAGAAAATTACTGTGTCAGAACTGTCACTGCTCCTTTGCTGCAGTTCTGCTTCCAGAAAGCATTCCCTTAGGCTGCTGCTTCCCAGGCCAGATCACTATCACATAGGACTGGGAAAATCCAGCCCTTTCCCATTTACTGTGTTCTGCAGACCTTTTGAGTGGGTTTGTCAGATTTTCTGTGAAGGAAGTGTCAGAAAGCTTTAAGTGCAGACAGAGATTTGTTCCCATTTTTCCCCTTTGAAAGATTGATCATCTTTTTTTATAATCACATTTGTTCCCTGCCTGAGGGCAAGGTGAGTCAAACTATAGAAAGGCCTTACCTCTTCTTCAGGAACCTCATAGACTTCTGTAAGACAGGGAGGAAAAAATGTGTTCTTTGGTTAGCAAAAACATGCTACATGTTACCAGAAAAAAACTCATCAGAATTTGTAATCAATTGTACTTCTGCCTCTGGAAAAATAACTGAGAAGTTGCTCAGAGCTTGATTCTGCCTCCAAAACCCTGGGACAGCTACACCTCTGGTCTTCTAGTAAGACCTTCAGCAAAAGTCCTAGGAAGTCTAATAAACACTCACTGTATTAATGAACCTTCCCCCCACCCCACAAGCTTTTTTTAATTATTATTTTTTTTATCGTTTTCCCCAAAACAAGATGAATGCTTGTGTTGTGCAAACTGAGACAGTTTGTAAGAGATGTCTTATCATGCCTGTGGTAGCATTTAGCCTTTCCTTGACTCTCGGAGAGGAAGAGAACAGGTGAATCATAGATACAAGCTGGGTCATTTGCGTGGCCAGTGTCCATCCCTAAGCTCTGTCCCATGGGTGTATTTTAACTTACAGATAATAAAAGCCAAAACCATCAGCATCCTTATCTATATCCAGTTTCTTTAATGAAACTGAATAATATTTCAACAAATTTAACGTCAGGCTTCACTGCGCTGAAAAATGTTTGAGTTCCCACCAGGGGGAGATATTTTATTCTTTTTAGTAGCATCTGTCAGGAGCTGTTTGTTGTTTGACACTGATTTACAGAAAGGCTAAGACTGAAAAGGGCATTTTAAAACGTTTGAAAAGGAACTCACAAAATCTTAAGTCTCATTCAGAGGAAAAACTTCTGTACTTTACGACTTGAAAGCTAAACATATTGGTAATGAATATGCAAAGACTTTTAAAGAACTGTGTGATCAGTCTGTAAAGGTTACATTCCAAGCAATTAATGACATGAGGAGGATGCAAAACAACTCAGAGTTAGCACAGCTAAGAAAGGTTAAGCAAGTCTATCTGCACTTACAAAAGCAAATATGATTCTTCTTATGTGCTGCTTTTGTTTCTTTTTATAAATAAACTGCTCTTTATAGAACTTAAATGGGAACACTTATCACAGGACATACAAAACATCAACCTATGGAATTTCTTTAAGACTGGATCTTGATGTAGTTTTAAAATATTGAGCTTTGATTCCTACAGTGAAATGGGATTACTAACATACTGAGCTCTCTTATTGTTTTTACTGTATTGATCCATTTGCGTTCCTCTGCTCGAGCAAAAGACTAAAAATAAATTGGTTTGTTCTAATGACTTGTTCTAGTTTTATTCATGCTTAAAACAGATTACTATTCAAGCTAGGCAACACAACTGTTACAACACAGAAAAACCTAAAGGGGAACATATTTAGGTTTTACTGAAGTATGTCATATGGTTTTTGTTGTGAATAAATCAAGTGTAATTTAATTTTCATCATTCTTAGATTATTTTATTTTAACAGTGATACAAACTCTACATACCTTGCATATCAGAAGTAAGAGAAGGCTTTGGAGAAGTAGGGGGAGCTGACTTTGCTGTCTTCATAAATCTGCTCACAGGAGCTAAAAACATATTTTATTCATATACATATATACTTGTGCATGTGTGTGTATATACATGTATATTTATATATATACACACACATATGTATTAAAAAAGCTAACAATGTAAAATTTATACAGTAAGAATAAATATTAAATAGGTCCAACTGATAGCCTTTTTGTGTGACCTTGAACAAATTAACTGAGGCAGAAAGCATCTCTCTTTTTAAAAAGGAAACATTATTCAGTGTTCATGCCTTGCTGAATAGGTTTGATACTGTCAGTAATGTCAGAGAGCAGAACTACATACTCTTCTCTGTTTACTTTTCACATTGTAATAATTTCACTCTCCAGCTAAATAGGCTTCAAACAGTGAGGATAAAAAAAAGAAAGAAAAGAATCAAAGTCTGTCTTTATTCACTGGACATCTAAAAAGGCTTGTTCTTCTCCTGATGCACTTCAGCAAACAGAGAATTTTAATGCTGTGGCTCCCTTGGATGAGGAGAGAGATCACAAAGCATGAAAAGCTTCCTGGTTGTACAAGGGCTGGTCTTTGAAATAGCTGAGTGAGAGAGGCAGGAATTAAATATGGCTTCCAATAAAGTTAAAAATAATTTTCCTTGCCCTTGCCATGGGCTAAAGGAACCAATTGCCTTTTTGCAGGCTCTGTTCTCTTTAATAACTGCACCTCCATTCTTTGAACCCTAGAAATAGACATTAATTTGATCCATTTTTTTCCTCACTGCTGTTCCTAACAAGGCAATAATTATTAGCTTAAATGACTAAAACTCACATCTTGTAGGTAGTGACACACTGCTTTCTGTAGGTTCAATATAGTTATCGTTGTCATTGTCCACTGGCACAATGTAATTATCCTGTGAGAAAGGCAGGACAAAAATCTACCAGTTAAACGTCCATCATAACAACAAACTGTTGGAACTCAAGAACTGGCAGCAGCTTATAATAGTTGCTATTTCACAGTGACTGCTATTTCAGACATTTATCATCCTTTGTGGATGGGATTCTCCAAGACTGAAAACCCTTTACCAAATTACTCTTGTTCTGGACTGGTGGATGAAAGCCCTCCCTTCTCTTTGGTCCTGGGGTAGCCTTTGAGGTTGCTCTCTCCCCATTGCCTGCGGCCTGTTACGGATGAGCAGAAACTATTCTATTGTCTAAAGAGCCTCCTTGATGCTTGAAGTAGGCAGATATCTGCTAGGAATCAGCATGGTACTTGCAGGTCGCTGTTTGAGATATACAAAATGATTTGTGCCATAGAGGCTAAGAAAGCAATTAGGCCATGGCATTGCTGTGTAGTCTAACTTATGATTGGCATGGGGTCATCAGTCATTTAAACTGTTCAAAACAAGTATATCTATAAACATTACCTCATCATCACTACACTCCTTAGGCTTCAGTGGTACTTTTGGTTTTGCAGCAGGAGACGACAAAGGTAGAGATGGCATGGATGGCTTCTTTGGTCTGGACATGGCTGGACTGGGAGTACTTGGGAAAGGTTTGTTGATGGGAGGAAGCTGCTGGTGACTGGTGCGATTGTCTTTTAATATAGAAGAAAACAATTTTAGTAAAAATTACACATTAGTCTCTTGATTGTCTTCTACTACCTGTGCAAACAAGACTTTACAGTGGCTGCAGCTCAGGTCAAAAGGCAGACCTCCTGAGTGTATGCTAGTCCTGATGTTGAGACTTATGTGTAAACTGGTCCTATTTCATCACTCAAGGTAGCAACCTAGTCCTCTGTATCAGGCTGCAGAGGCTGCTTAGACAGTGACTGTTGTATGAACTACAGTTTAAGTCCCTCGGGAAAAGGTGGTGGCTGGGTGGTATAGTCCATTAGCTAGTATGTCCTGTGCCAGTATGAGCTTTGGTGATGAGAAGTGAGAAACAACATGTCTGACACATGAAGAAAACAACTGTTGCAGTACAAACAGTACAAAGGGTGGGACTAAAATACAAATTATGCCAGGTCCTCTGGGGTGTAATTTTAAAAATTCCTCCCCTTTTCAAAGAACACATAGGTGAAGTACTGATAAACTACTATGAGTACATATGTGGCATTTTAGCACTTTGATGATTATTCCATAACCAGTTAACAGTCTTGTATCATACAAAAATGAAAGCAGGTATCATGCCAATGTTTCTTTTCCCCATGACCTGTATCTTCATCTAACTGAAGCTAACTTTCATTCACTTCACTGCAATCTGCCCATGGTTGAAAGCAGTTAAAACAGGAAGAAAAAATGCATTTATGCTGGACTGATGTAAATAAAATCTTGATCCTGTCCTGTTTTTCAGGATATTTAATCTCCTCAATACCAATCTTGAAGGACAATACAGAGTGAATATTTGGGCTGCTTTGTCCTCTCTTTTATTGCTTTTGGAATAACGATTTGAGATACAGAAAAGATTAAGAAGGGACCTGTCTAGTCTTATGTGCTTAATCTTCAATATGAATTCCTGCATTAAATTATGCAAATTAATATAGAGCCAAGTTAGTGATATCTCCCATACCTTTGCTTGAATTTTGTAGTTAGTAGATGTCTATCAAAGTCTCTAGGACACATTATATTAAAATTCTAAACATTGCTAGCAGAAATACTAACCTCTTTCATGCTGTACTAACAAATCATACCCCTGAAAGCTGAAGACGTGATTGTCAGAATTAAAAGCAAATGCTTGAGGAAAGCACAGATTAGTCCTTTTGAGGCCACTTCTGTTTTGGTACTGATAAATAAGCAATTATCAAGCTGATGTAGCCAACTAGTCCATAACTACCTGCATATTCACCCTTAGTAATAGGGAATGCGGAAGGAATCTTCTTTTTCTCCTGCTCACTTGGAGGCGGCTCATAGCTGTCGTCAGGATTCTCTTCACTGGGGACCACATACATCTCAGAGTCAGAGTGGTCATCTGGATTTTCATAATCACTGTCCTAGAAAGACAGAATTTCTCATTTCATAACATACTTACAGCTTCATAGCAGTGCATGTCACAAACATCCTCACAGGAGTACAATTAACTAAATTACAAGAACGCATCCTTGAAAGGACAGATTACACTCCCTTTTAGTGCTCCCTCTCTAAACAAATAGCCATTCCCACCTGCCTCCCCTTCTGCTCCTCCCAGGAACCTCCTTTTCCATGTCTCCATGCTATCTCCAGGGGAGGCTGGGAGGCTTTTGACACCAAGAGTTCAGTCTTCAAATTAAGGATCAACAGCTTATTTCCCTTTACAGGACAGTTCCTTCCTAGCTCCAGCTGTGACTCCTGATGTGTCCTGTCACTTCTTCTCCACTTCCTATTAAAAGGATATTCAGGAGATAACTCCAGAAGGAAACTAGACACTTCAGGCTGATGGTTGTACACTATGGCAATTACTCTACACAGCTGATGACCATGACTTGCTTCATTCTAATGTTGTCTAGAAACTTATCAGAAATTTTTCATTTCTAGTGGCTTTCCTCTCCTCACCCTTCCCACCCTACCTCACCCAAGTAGAGGATCTTACTGGTTTCTGAAATTACTGTTCAGTTTGAGAAGTCCCTCAAATTGATGCGATGCACTTGCTTACTTATCCAAAATCTTAGCATCCATGGCTACCACTGACAGTGCTTCTGAGTGTACTTCTAAGTTGAATGAAAAAAAATTGAGGTAGCTAAAAATCAGTGACTACTTGTAAATAATGCTGATGTAACAAGTAAGACAACATTTAAGTAGTATTAAGTTCAACTACAAGTAGATGATTCAAAAATAAATGTTTATTATTATTGCTTGCACTGAACTTGTTACTACAGTAACCGCCTGCTACCCCAAAATATGTACTTACAAAATCATCTGACCATTGTTCCTCTTCATTGTCTGCATGTTCTAAACCAAACATTAAGAGTTATTTAAGGAGATGGAATAGGGAACATAAATATTTATATTGGTATAGATTGAAAAAAAAATTATCATATTTAGTTAAAAAAGAGTGGTCAAAATTTCCTAAACAGTACAAAGCAATGCATCTGGCTTGGACTGGATAGTAAATTAAATGCCTTGCTTGTTTTTGATAAATTGTTTCAGGGCTGTTAGAAAAGCATTAGAAAATGGAAAACCACACATGGTCTGAACAGCAGAGCACACACTTTACCCAGAGCATCCTGCTAATGCATCTGATTTTTAAGTACATAATGGCTCTACCGCTGACCCCTGGGCCTTGCACTTGTTCCTCAGTTAAAGCTCCACGACAGCACACTAATTACAAGTGTTGACATTAAGCATGGAACAATTATCTGGTAACTTCCAAACACCGTCCTCTTTGCTTCAGTTTTCATATTGCTGTTTCCTTAACAAGATATGTGTTAACTTGTGAAAATGGGCATGAACAAGTTTGTGGGCAGTGCTGTATGATAAGCAAATACAGTTCTACTTCTGAGATAATTCATGACATCATCATTGTCATGTTAACAGTCAGATTCTGAGTCTGTGATGATCCATTTGTCAATTTTTTCCCTATTTACATCACAATTTCTGTCAGAGAGAATCAGATGCGAATTCTCCATTTTTAGAGCAGCCTACATGCAGAACCCTGGTAAATACTGATTTTGAGTAGCAAGTAGCTACTGTCTTCACACTGGGACATCTTTCCATCTTTTGCTTGCCTCTCATTTCAGAGTTGTGAACTGCCTTCAGAGTTGTTGATAATGGCATATTGTTCTCTCATTAAAAACAAATTATGAGGGAAAGTATAGCTGAAATAACGTTAGGCATATAGGTATCAAATATACACAGACATGCAGTTTAAATTTACTCTAACACAGCCTTACCTGAAGCATAATCCCTCTGTGGTAGACTCGGTGGAGGCCTTTTTTTTAGCCTGTGAACAATAATTATTTACATTTATGATCTAACAAGTAACATTCACTAGAAGGGAGCATTAGCCAGACACATAAAAAAGCTGATAATATAAGGTACCTGCAGCTGAAGAAATACAGATTACCATCACAGACGCTTAGCAAATAGCTGCAGGAGAATGCTTTGAAAAGCTAGAAACAGATAAGAAATTAGAATCTAATCTGAGAGATTTTTTTTGGTTTTTTTGCTAAATACATTTTTTGAAAGAACAGCTTCCTTGCCCACCCACCCTCCTCTTAATTTCCAATGCAGAAACAGATAATATAGGGGGCAGAGATAAAAGCATATCTATCTGAAGATGAAAATCTGTTCAGGCTCACAGAGACTTTGATAAGACTATGGCATAAGAAAGTAGTGTAGCACTCTCCAGTCATATTTATAACTATCATTTTGCATGCACTTTATTTTCTGATTAATGTTTAAATGTATACGAGGTCTTTCAGGGCTAGATTCTGTTTCCACTTACTATTATTTTGTGGTGTTACACATACACACACATATATATGTATTCTCTTGTTTGTTAAATTGCAGATGTCCAGAGAAGACACTGAATTACAATCAGTTGATATGTCAATTATTTTATTATCCTGTAAAAAAACCCCTGAATTTGAATGGTGCATGTGTGAAAGAAGCCAGTCTGATGGATCTGAAGAGAAAACACACCTCTGCTTTTTGTAGCCATATAAAACACTAACACAATTTACATTAAAATGACTCTTCAAAGTGACTTTTGAACATTGTCTGACAGCTTCCCTGTAGCACTGATGGGACCTCACCATGGACCTGAACCTTTGTCCACTGAATTGATGGCTTCACTCATTCTTCAATCATGTCCTAACAAATTCATTTGCAAAAATAAGCAAATTATTTAGAAAATTTATCCACAAAGAATTTAAAATGTTTTCTTGTGATCTCTGAGTAATAGTGATGTCTACAAATTTTGCTTTACTACACGAATTTGACACTCAGTATTTAGGTCCTGAGCACGCTGCTTAAGTGTCATTGTTCAGGCACCAACGTATCTCAGGAGTGGCAGCATGCTGGCAACAACACATCAATTTTCAAGTTTTCCCATCTGTTTTGAGAAATGCTTTGGCTACTTTTGAGTTGAATTCATGGAATTCTCTTGTTGGGATAGTCACAAGAAAAAAAAAAAAAAAAGCACATGCATGAATCAATGAAGAAATGGTGCAGGCATTGCTAAAGCTAAAAAAATCCCAACCTAACTCCAAAAAACCAAACAAAAACCAATCTAGGAACATTATTTTTAAAGTGTTTACCTGCTTTGTTCATTACTAACAACACTAATTATGGATAGTTGCCTCTTCCAAGTCTTTAACTTCCTGCACCACAATATAACTTAGTGTACAAATAGTAAATTAGAAAGCATTCTCAACAGCCCTGCTGTCATCCTTTGTCCAGGTTAACACAGGCATGTTAGAAAGAAAAACCCAGGGCCACTGCCAGGGCAGATCTTGGGTCTTAGGGAGGGTAGACCAAAATCTGTTAACGTACTTAGCAACACGTCCATGTGATGGTTCTACTGGGCTTTGTTAAGACAGTCTATTGCAAGTTATTCAGAGATGGTGGAGACCAGGAAAATAGTGGAACTGAGGCAATAGTAAGAGGCTGTCTGGGTCACAGTGTAAAGTACGTGGCTTAAGCCACATTACGTGTTTCCAAGCTGCTAAGCAGAAGACTTCACCACTTTGTCCCAGGCCCTGTAAATCCTGGCAGTGACCCTGACAGAAAATGTAAATATGTTATAATAAAAGCATACAAAGCACAGAACAGAGGTCTGTGTCTAAGCAGCCTGTCATGCCATTGTGCAGCTCTGAAATAGCATACCGATCCCAAGTATCTTTCCCAGTTTTGCAAATTAAGGCCACTTGTTCATTTTGGAACCTGAATATCAATAGAAGAAAAGAAACAACGTTTCTGTCAGAGGTGAAACAGTTCACAGCCACATCTGTATTTGCTAGAATCTCTTCAAATATTTTATTCATTCTAAAATTCAAATCCACTTTAAAAAATAGTTCTCACTGTACTGGTATGATTTACTGAGTGCCAGAACTGAAATCCAGGCTCTTTTGAAGTCAATTGGACTTTGCAAGAGCCAGAACTTCACCCGATATGCAAACCATGATGCAAGCTCAGAAGACACCTATGCCACAGAGTGGTTACCTAGCTATTTCAGATTCTGATGTAATTATCCACATAGGTGCTTGCAGAATGACATTTACTCCATCCTATTCCCTTGAAGTTAATGAGAAAGGACTGAAGGAATCAAATGCCATTCAACTGAGCATACATATTTCAGGGGAAGACAGAATGATTTCCTAACATATCTTTTAACAGAGTTATATAGAATTACATAACTTGCAAATGCAATTTACAAGTAAAATATTCTAGTGCTTCTCTGCTCTGGACTTAAGTTAAAGGTGGTGAAGCATCTCTGTGTTAGCTGTGGTAGAACACAATTAAATAATTCAAGTTTCCATTTACTTTAATGGAACTAGTATTTTTCTAAAATTTATTAGAAAATAAGTAATTTTATGGAGATTTTGAAATATTCCTGAAAAAATTCAGTTCTAAAAGACTCAATAAAATCCAAGTACATTTTTGAGAGTATGTTTACAGGTTTTAAAAGCAACATAACACATCATACTATATATACATTTTAGCTTCAACAAATAACCAGGTAACATTTGTGATATTTCACGTAATTGAGTCTAGGTGCTGTTCACAGAAGAACAGAATGCAGTGTACGGAAATTATAAACTTTTAGGAGAAAAAGCTATTTCATTTTAAAAAAACAATGTATTCTGAGATTTCCCATCTATAGCATGCTGAGGTTGATCCAACAAAGCATTTAGTCATGTGCTTAACTTTTCTCACATAAAGAGTCCCATAGGAATTGCAAATATGAATCACATGCTTTGAGTTCATAGCACATTTTTATGTTTTCCTGCACTAAATGGAGAATTTTTAAATAAACTGCAACTAAGGCCTGAGTTTTCTGCTCTAACAATACTTGTTTTTACAGGCTACACTCAGAAAAGTAACCACATGTACACAGTAGTAGCTCCTTACATGTAGCACTTAATTCTCCTACAGATGCATTTCCTCGCTACTGTTTCTGCCCACTCTGCCGGCATTGAAGGTGCCTAAAACCTCTTTGTTGACTTGAATATTTATAGTATGTATTAGTCCTAAGAGCACTAGACCATTACACTTGTGATCGAAAGACAAATTAATTGAACTTTGCCAGAAACTTTCTCAGAGTTCCAAAGAGGTGCAATCCAGCTGACAGGTAAACTTTGCCTGAGCTGTATTCTCATGACCTAGTGGGATAGTTTGTTATAGTTTTGGAAGTCTCTGGCAATTGTACAAAAAAATTAATTTGAAACTTTTTTTTTTTAAGTGTTATTACTACTTTTTTTGCAAATTTTCTTTACAATGTGCTGTGGCACTGAAATGGCATACAGCTGTGATTTATTAATCTTTACTTCAATGAAATATTGTTATCTTAATAAAAATCCTGGCACTCAAAACATTTTATTGAGCTACATGTTGAAATTCGTATTTCTTCAGAATACAGTTAAAATCAGGTGTTATACTTTTCCCTGGTTTCTCTTTCTAAGTGCGGTACAACTTATTTTGGGACTTTTCTCTCATTATTTAGTCCGTAAGACACCACTTTTCTCTCTGCCAAGGGTTTTATCATGGATGACTTAGTTGCAGCTATGCAGGCTGAAGAGAAATGTAGTGACTCAACTCCATTCTTCTGCCTGAAGTTACCACTTAAGTTATAAAATGGACCAGACAAATCTGGAGTAAAAACTTACCCAACTAAAAAGCTGGATAAAGCAGATAAAATGAAGATGCATTTTCTTTTGATTTTTCAGGTCACGTGGCAAATGTGTTTTCAAGAAATGCACATATTTGGACTGTGTGCATTTAGACAAATAACTAGAAGTACATGATTTCTGACGACTTTGCAAAGGAAGTTTTGATAGGATGTGTGCAACAAGGTGAGTAACCTGAACTTCTAGTTTCTTATTCAACATAGTAGGTCAGCACATACCAAAACTTTAGGGTGAAATCCTGACTTTGCTGTATATACAGTATGACTTTTAGTATCAACTTCAATGGAGCTAGGATTCCACTGAACAAAGCCTAGAGGCTCAAAGCTTATGATTTACAGATGAATGCTATGTCTTTACAGTGCTTTTCAAGCATAGGCAGCATCCTGCAGAGTGAAACCTGATTTCTCTCTTACTTCTCTGTTCTGTATTACCAAGGGTGTGCTCTCATTGTTTATACAACTTTGGCTATACCTATTGCTTCTACACCTGAGCACATAATCTTCTTTGACATCATGATCTGCACAGCAGCTGAGACTCCAGTATCGTAAACAGTGTTGCTTGTGATTAAGGGCAAGCAGGTGAATGGTAGCTTGCAGTGGGCAATATTTTTACTGTCAGAAAATTTTGAGTCAGGATGGGGAATAAACAACAGGAATTTTTAAGCAATGAAGAAAAAAATCTGTAGTTTTCTTTCCTGTTATCACCACTGTTGAGACTGCTTTCCACAGACCGAGACACACATGGATGGTAGATGTACCGCTCCCCACCTGCACCCCACAGATGAACTAGATTGGAGAGCAAGACATTTGATGCAAGAACTTCTCTTACTTTTCTGCATAATCAAAAGCCAATCCAGATTTTAGAAGTATCTTAACAAATACTAGTAATAATTCTAGTAATGTATTTCCTAAATATTTGGTCATCCTTTGAATTTCAGTAGCAGAGGCTTACCATACACATACGTGACAACTTTAGGCTTGGGATAAGCAAGTATACTATTTGACTTCTCTAAAATTATTCCTACTTATAATAGGTTTGAATTTGAGCCAAAACAGTATTTTTCCAGCATATAGACAAATTCCAAATCTGTGCTACATAAAACCAATTTTTTTTTAATACAATTTTTCCTGCTTCAGTCATGTTTAGATCCTTGGCATCTAGTAATGTAATCGTATAACTGAAATGGAGGAAGTGATAACTGGATAACCACATATTTTAGAAAAAGCATCTACTAAAAATCAAAGGGCACATTCAGAAGAATACAGCCAGTTCCAATTCTGCAAAGCCTGGCATCTCTTGCACATATCCTTATCAGTGTTGTCAACGCGTGCAAGTCTCATTATGTGCTGGGTTCAAGATTTGAGTTTTAAGTCATGTGCAAATGTGAATTTTTTTTCTTCATTTTTTTTTTTTTAAATAAGAGTAAGTTTCTGATCTTCATAATTGCAGAAGAGATTAACATGACTCAGGTGAACCACAGAAGTATCAGAAAGATTTTTTTTTTTTTTTTTTTTTTAACATCTCAATTTGTATTCTTATAGCTGGGGGAGGTGAAATGGGAGCTTTGTGCTGCAGTCATACATCAGGGGAGTTTTTATGAGCCAGGTCTTTTTTGTGGATTTTGTTTTAATCTTGAGAGAATCAAGGAATTGCAGCATTATAGCAGCAATCTTGTATCTGACATTTAATGATGGCACCTCTGACCTTCCCAGCTTCAGCTACATTTAGTTCTTGTTATTTTTCCCTTGTCTGTCCTTCCCCTCTTACTCTCAGGGAAGGACATACAGTCAGAGCAATACTGATTAAGAGCAGAATTCATGTCCAGGCAACTCTGAGAGACAATTTGTTGCCTCGAATTATAAACTCGAGATGCTCCCATTGTTTCTGCCATCTGCTTTCCCCACTGAGGCATTTCAACTGGACCCACTGCAACATTGTTAACATTAACTATGCTTAAACTACTACTGTGAGGTAGGAAGCCTTAACCTTTTATTAAACAGCAACAACAACCACAAAACAATTCCTCTCACCCTCCTCCCCTCCAAAAACCCACCAAAAGCCTTGACAACCCAGAAGCTCTTCCCTGGGAGCAGGTCCCACGTGAAACAGTTTTTTGTGGATGGATCTCTAAAGATAGTAGTCTATTTACATACACACCATGTTAAAAAGAAAACCATGCTTAGATTAAATTAAAGATCCAAGTATCTTTACCCCAAGTAAAGAGGGCCATTCTAAGGAAACCCCACCAGTTGTGCTTGTGTAGAAATAACGAGTACAAATACCATGTGACTGTTATTTACTGCAAATTGCAGCAGTGCTACAGTGAAAGAGGATGAGTAAAGGAAAAAAGTGACCTTACGAATCTATCTGATATATCAGGTGTTGCCATCAGAACCTGCTCAAGGGGTTTGTGGGTGGAAACACAGCTGTGATAAAGAGGCTACAGAGCAGGGCTTGTAACCCAAGGTTACTCCTCTTGCCTGGGGAATGGGTGAGGCAGGTGGTCACTGCTGCTCCTAGAAGTGTATCCCCCTCCTCTGCCAGCCATAGCAGCTTCCCCACAAACACCAGCCCCACCAGGACTGGCAGCAGGGGCAGCAGCTGTAGCCAGCCCAGCTTTCCAGAGCTCCTGTGTAGCCAAACCAGACAGACCCCCTACCACTTCTCCCACCAGCCTACCAACCCCTTAGTATATACCTAAAATTAGCTCTTGTTACAACCATACTTTTTCTTTTCCTTGATCAGAGCCATCATTGTAAGTCTTTAAGAACAATTTTAAACAATGTTTATATGCGCCTTTTATGTATGAAAGCTGTATTTCTAGAATTTAATATGCTTGTCTTGGAAACACTGCAGATACTGTGTACTAATTAACTTCTTTTAAAAGTACTTAGTACTTTTGTTGTCAATGACCCAAGTGAAGAAAGACATCTGAATGAGAAAATCACATTCAAATGGAAGTTCAGTGCAAATGAGCTATTGCATTAAGAAAAAGTGTGCTAAATAGCTAATTGGTTTAAATAGATGGTTGACTGGAAACAGTGAATGGCCTATTCATTTGACAAGGATGCAGAATTACTGGAATTTTTCTAGGTATAAATACACATGAATATTTTATGATACTCATATGTATGCAATATCAATATGCATGCTGTTTAGCACTTCTTACTGGAATAAGGATGTTGGGTAATGCTAGGATTTGTTTTAGGGGACTGAAACACAAGAGGACTTAGCATTTTTATGGGAATTCTAACTATGGTGTCTGACCTGTCGGTTCAAGGTGGGGCTCAAATTAAAACTTAATTGCAGCAAGTAGCCTAAACAGTGGCCTGAGGAGAAAGACGCACAGCAAACAAGCAGCGGTGATCATTCCCAAAGAATATGTAAGAAAAAAAATGCATTTTACCCAAATAGTGTTTTTCAGGGCTACAAACACAACCTCCTCTTGGAGGTCAGTTCTGCAGCTACTTTGTGATACTCTTAATACCAATGACAATTCTGCACGCCGCAGTCTGGACTGAAGCTCTTTACATACACTGAAGTACATCTCTCGAGAATAACATGGTCCCATCCCTAAAGTACCATATACTATGCTAGCAATCTGAGCTTCCCAAATTGATAAAAGTAGGATTGGCATTTCAAACTTACTTTTTGAACTTGTTTATTATCCCATTTTCATTTTTCTTGATGTCATGCACCATCTTTTGAAGCTTCCTGTAAGATATTAAGCAAAGCCAGCATTAAAATTACTATGTAGTTGAACACCCATTTATATAAATTAAGAAAAAAACAGGAAATGCATTTACAGTAATATTTCACACATCAAAAATGCTTAATGTACATTTGATAAGTAGTTTAGTTGCTAAATCTTCTGTGTATGAAGTTTCCTTCCCTTTTTAACAGAGCTCTTTGGCATGATTTGTGTTATCTTTCTCGTTAATACAATTAAGTGCAGTTTAAACAATTGATTTAAGAGTAAGTGTATCAGGAAAGAATATCATTGCCTAAATTAATAGTTTAGAATATTTCAATGTTAACATTTTGTTCAGAACTGACTTTACAACACTGCACAGCTATAATGAGAATGCCCTCTAATTTCTGACCTTACACGAGTCATTCTGTCAGTGGACAGTTTACCTCATTCCCATAGTGTTTGCAGTTATAATAGGAGGGGGAAAAATTACACATTCCTGAGCCCAGACCATCGGATAAACAATTGGAATATCTGTGACTCTGGGTTGTAAAAACTCGTGATCTCGGGATTCCAGTTACATGGGACGATATCTGGAATTAAAGATTGTTTTTATTCATCAGCTGCACTGACCTCATTAAAATTTTACTTGTAAATCAAGGCAATTTAAGTTAAATATCTCATTTTTCACTCAGCAAGTATCATGTAGAATCCCACCTCCCTTCTAATTTAAAACCCCACACCACTAAAATCAAGTCAATGTCAGGTGAAACCTTTTGGAAATCTGTTCATGCTAGAAACTTCTATAGAAGTCACATATATTTTTAGTTTCTTCACAGTGTACATTCTTCTTATTCACCTGAACTAAGTATCTTTTATTAGACTTTTATCACAACCAATAAAGGAAGGCAAGTGATTTTTTTTTCTCCCCAAAAAGGGCTTAAAAAAATCTTTGCTTTCCATTCTTCATTATAAGTTGTCTACGTCATTCCACATTTGAGTCTTGCCTACATCATTTCTGACACATGATCAGGCTACCAAAAAACTCCTCGAAGCTTTGCTTATAAAGACAAGTACAAACATCAAAGTATTCTTTCACTTTTTTAAAGCTTTTTTAAACTTGAAACCTTAATATGCAGAAAGTCGAGTAATATATAGAGCTTCCAGCCTCATCATTAGTAATTGCAGCTGTCTTTTAAAAATAAAATAACTTTTTCAAAGGAATTAGATTAGAATTAGCTAAACAAAATCAAGAAATAACTCGAAATAACTCCAAAAACATTATGTCTGCAGTCTGTGGTTCGGGCTGAGCAGTCATGTAGCCACTCAAGGCATTGGGTAGTGAGAGTATTAGGCTTATGCCGAGAGGGATCTTCCTACCTCTGCTCCTGATTTGAGAGCAATTGTGGTAGTTAGTGACAATTAATCTCACTTTATGAGACTTGCTTAAAAAGGATAGTTAGATAACCGAGTACTTTTCAGTTTTTGGAATCTTGAAATAAATAACAAAGCTTAATTTTACTCTTAAAAATGTTTATTAACAGAACAGAAAATTCTGTTTTTTTATTGCGTCAGCTGGAATTGAAGGATACTTCACACTTTTGGCAGCCGTGTAATACAACAACATAGAACTCTGAGAGGCTAAGTCATGGGTCTGATACTTAAAAGAGTATTCCTAGAGCCTAAATATTTGCCCAATTTTACTTAAAAGACCCAACTCAACCTATTATTTTTAGGTTCTTAACTCAGAAAAAAAAAAAAAAAAAAGAGTAATGAGAATAACTGGCAGATAATTCACAAGCACATCTTTAACTCTTGCTCAAAACTCATACTATTAATTTACAGCAAAAGGATATAGTGTTACCTGCTGAAATAACCCCCCCCCCAAACTTATAGATGTGAGAAAGAGGTGCACAGCAAGATATTTTGAGATTTCCTGCAACAATGCACTACATCTATGAGAATAGCTTGGATTATTATCTAAACTAACCAGATATATTAAATCTGCAAATGTGGGGTGAAGATTTCAGAAGAACTTCTGCTTTTCTGTGGCATTTACTTTTTTTTTTTCTCCCTAATAGATTCAGTTTCTTGTTATGCTTGAAATACCACAAATAGCCATCTTCTGCAGTTTACTGTTTCTTTCTTGTGCCCCAGCTGGCACCTGGCAGTGTCTATAAATGAAAAGTAATGAGGAATGAAAAGAATGAAAGGAGATTTAAATGGTTTCGCTTTAGTTTGGGGAGAATGGTTGTTTGCAATTGTTTGTGTCCTTTTCAAAAAGGCTCGTCAGCCTTTAATTAGAAATGCATGTAAGCATCAGTTGTTTTTCTTCCCATATTTATTGTTAGAGATAGAATCCAAAGAAACAAACAAACAAAATCTAACTTGTAGATTTAGATCTTAACATTGCTTATTGCTCATTTCTGACATTACTATATCTTTACAATAGCAAAATTATGGCTTTATTTTGAAAAAATGTGTTTCATTTTTCACACAACTATTTTATATGGTCACTTTGGTCTCTAAAAAAACCTACCCACAAACAAACTCACCCCCAGATTTATAACTATCAGTACCCAGAACAGTTTGCTTTTCATTTGATCATATGTAGGTGAATTGATTAGACTATCATGGGCGTTCCATGGGCACTGAATAAGGCTATAGCTTAAAAGAGCATTTTAATATGTATTTCTATTTAAAATAAAAAAGAAAAAAGAGGTGCATTTAAATTAGAGGTAATCGCATGTTCCACTACTGGTGCAATCAGTTATTTTTCCCATGCAAATAGACTGAAATAAAAATATTAACATTTTTTGCATAATCAAATTTCCTAAATATCTGCCTTCTTTATTCCTCAATTTTTTTCTGGAGCCATTTCATTTTCTAGTAACAAACTGTGGTAAATAAGGCAGTATCTAATATGTATTTGTGTTAATTTTTTCATTTTAAAGTCATGTGCTCTTGTAGGAGTTGCTAGAATACTTTGTTGCCTCCCGAAAACTTAATATCTATCAAGCCTGTGAGAGTACACAGACAACCACTGCACTGTACAGTGGTAAACGTAGGAAGTCATCAAACATGGATGATCTCCAGTTCAAGTGGAATCCCTTTTGATCCGTGAAGTTGAACCAGCTGCAACAACTGGTCTGTCCAGTTAGCTAGAGGCTGAGATTTCTTGAGGTGCCAGCTGATATAATAGACTACAACTGACCAGTTTTACAAAGAGCTGTCTGACTTGCGATTTTTTGGAGAGACAGTAGAAAATATGAGAGGCAGATAGCAAAGCCTATAGCAAGAAGATTCTCCAAATCTTAAGGGTCTCAAAACCAAGCCCAAAGGCCATTCAAGAGTGATGAGGAAAGTGAAGCATGGAAAGTCATTTATAAACTTAATGTTTTGCCTTGTATTTGCATGTCTGACTATCTCTCAAATACTTTTGTCTGGCTCTCAAATACTTTTCTTTACTCAAGACAGTACTTTGAAGTAAAAAGGTTCATTGTAGGAGGAACATACCAAAGCAGCAGCCCTGAGAGTATGTAGGAAATGGAGGCTACCATGGCTCAATGTAGACAGCCCTTGCTTCAGGTACATAACTACAACCTTCTTTCTTCACAACACATCTGAGTCAGGACCTCATTTCTTACTAATGTTTATTCTCTAGTTGTTCTCTTGGGATGAACAGATACTAGAAACATTCGAGGACCTCAATCAGCTAATATTGTAAATGAACATAATAAGTAATGCTAGTTTTACATTGCATATAATGAAAGATAATTAAGAGATCAAACTTAAGAGTTTTTTCTTAACTACAAGTACCAACTCTTCATTCAACTTGGTTGAGAGATATTTATGTAAAATCAGGCTTGCAGATAAAGATGCAGTCTGTGTCACTGTTAATCTTTGAAAACACTTTTCAGCAATACATAGCTATTTTGAGATACAGTTTAATTGTGACAGGTATAGACTGGACGGGACCCTTTGATCAGGAATTCACTGCACACAGAATAGATTTTCAGACTTCTGCTATGAGAAGTTTGGAAGTCTTGGTTCTAGGTGCTTCCAAAAAGTTTTATGTTTCTAACAAATATACTAGAAATTCTATGTGTTGGAGGGAATAACAGAAAAGACTGTTCAATGGATCCTAAAAGGAAAAATATTTTAGCCCTGTGCTGCTATTTTTTGTATCTTATCAAATTTCACCTCCAGCAATTCAGGATTATCAGATGTACTGACAAAGGGGTCACTAGCTGTGATACATATGTAAAGGAAGGCAGAAAGATTTACCATTGCAAATACAATATACCCTGAAAGATGGATTTGCTGTGTCACAAAATACCTAGCTGTGCTCAAGGACTGGCAGAGCTGCCTTGAGATAAAACAAAATGAAACAAAACCACCCTCTCTTTGATCTGGTCACAGCTCAGCATATGAGGAATGTATGTCAAGTGAAGGGTGATGGCTGGGCCTAGCCTGTGACACATCCCCACTCTCAAACATCAGCTAGAAGTTTTTTGCTCTTTTGGCATACAAGCTATCCCACAAAAGCTTTCCAAAGTTAAAATACTTTTTTTTTTTTTTTTTTAAGAGAAAAATATAAATAATATGAAGTGTGTAATAAGCTTTCACCTCAGATGTGAGATGATGTGCAATGCCCCCAGATTTGAGAAAGAGGAGTCTGTCTTAATTTCAGACACATCTGTGTAATAAGGAATTCTCCCATGATTTAGACTAATTTTGAGAAATTGTATTTATCAGTATTATAAATCTCTGAAGACATTAAAAACATATGTTATGGAAATACTTATATTATGGGTCAGAGCAGTTGGCATGAATGGCTCCTCAGAGGCCATGGCCCCCCCCGCTCCTTGGAGCGGAGAGGGACCTCCTGTGTGCATGAACAGCATGATTCACCTCCTTGTGCACAGTGAATACTGTACTTTGGACCTTCAGCACACACAGTGGTTGTCAGCATTTTAACTGTACAGCTGCCTACATTGCATGGCAAGGGACAGCCCATAGCAAGTGACGCTCCCCTACTCTAACAATATATTACATGGTCTCCAGGGTGGGAAGATGGCACGGTTACTTCGGTGCATCTGGCTGTGAGCACGGATGTGTGTGCTTGCAGTTGGGAGTGGTGCTGATAATGTTTTTGGAAACAGGGCTGACTGCAGCGTCAGTAGGGAGTGGTGGCAAAACAAAAACCAGTTTTAAATGAATCACAGGAAGTTTTCTGTATTATAAGCATGCTTATTTCTGTTTATCTGGAGGACTAGAATTATACTTCCTTAAATTTCCAGTGCTTACAGGATAGTATGAATTATCTGGTGTGCCTCTTAAACTGGTCTGTGTGTACAGATGGGGATTTTTAATTTTAAAAACAGCAGAATTTTGAACAGGATATATTCAGACCAATCTGCAAAAGAAGCTTTGTAAGCAATATTGACACATTCAATATTAAGTGACCTGCATATTCTTTCTCCTCCTCCTAATGTCAGTTAGATTTTTTAA